ATATATATATATATATATATATATATAATATGCACAATTGTGGTATATAATAAGGATTCGTAATATCCGTTTTGTGTTGTATATGACAAAGACTGAATCAGTATGAATGGGCTAAAATGAGCTTCTCGTACACATACGTACGATAGTGGTCGTTGTGTCAAGATTTGGAATTGAGTAATGTTGCAGTTTCCAAACGCAGAATAGAACATTGCTTTGAAATGTTTATACTGGCAGTTATAATTATATATAAATGAACGTTCGAATGGTTTTAGTGGGTATCAATTAAACATTGTTCATAATTATCATCAACTGTTGGTTGGAAATATCCATTTACGCATCTGAGTCAGGCTATTATGCAACGCAGTAAACAAAATTAACAAAATCAATATTTTTACCTTAATGGTAACCGTAACAATAAGTGATAGTGATACTGTAGCAAAGGGAATTAACGTCATGATAAGAATTTCAGTGTTGGATTGCACTTTCTCATACGTAGGATCTAGACACGCACTTTTCTTTACGGCTGTGCACAGTATTTTTGCAAGCAGGTATCTCCGATTCGTCGGTTTTGTATGGACATGATCTAGACTATATACTTCTGTTCGTGTACCACCCTGAGAGTGGCACTAAGATGGCAGCAGCAGGTTCTGGAGTATTTATTCATTTACGTTGGACCCAAAATAAAATTCATAACTCCACACAGCCCACTATTCTTGTAATGTTGCAGGAAACGTTCTTTGTTTTGAGGAAGTTGAACAGGATTCATTATGAATTGTAAAGGTGGAATAAGCACTGGGAACGTCATTGGGATTTCACTGGGAACGTCCATTTGCAGGCATCAGAATGGCAACATTATACACTTGGGATAGGATAAATGACATTGAAATTCATCCGTAACATTCATTATGCTCGCAATGGTTTGATCTGGTGCTAAACGGGTCATTTTTGCACTGCACAAACAAATGTGTAACATTGAAAAATGAAGTGGATGGGAAAAGATTCAAAGATTAGTGCATAATGAGCCTTAATCCACATACGAAGATAATCTTGATGTATCCGACCAAAGTGGTGGTTATTTTAAGGTTCGAAGCGTGTGGGCGAAAATTTGTGTAAGAATAACATCAAAAAAAAGTGTTATTAATTAACACAGATTTATATTTTGAACCAACAACGCAAAAAAAACACTTTCAATCTGCTCATCCGCTTGGAATTCTTTACTATATGTTCGAAAGATACTTTCGGTGATTTGATAAATAATCATCGAAAATTTTAATCATTTTGTTCAATCAATGCATTTTAAAATCTTAGTTCTAAGCCTTTCATTAATGCTTGAATCAGTGGCTTCAAATACCCTCAGTTACGGCTTAAAATCGCTTCGACGGAATGGTAAATGTTCTCTAAAATTTCATGCTAATTTGCTGTGCATTGCTGAATTCATAGTATAGAGCATAATATCATATCTGTTGCACCATGTACGCTTATAAGTGCACAATTCACAACGCAATCGTAATCGAGCATGATTTGATAGGTGAACTGCCAGATTTCAGTAAAATAGCGAACTGCTATAGAAACCGGCAGCTTTTCAGCATCGTCGACTCCTGAAAGATTCTTGGATGATCCACTCTAGCCTAACGGTATCTACCGTGCGATTCAGAATCTTGAGTTTATTGATTTTAGAAGCTATATTCCACACCAACATCCGTTTTTGACAGCACCAACTACACCATAGCGCATATGAATGGGTTATATTGGGTTTGAAGGTTTATGATAGCAGTAGCAATAATGATGATTATGATGACAATAACAACAATGCCGTTAGCACTACTAGTTTTAGTGACAGTAATGATGATGAGAATAATAATTTTAGTGTGCTGGTGAATTGTTGATGAAATCGTAAAATTTTCGAGGAATGTTCGGTAAATTCTCTGAAAATTTTGGAAAACGGAGATCCCGGCAATTCCGGAAAAGCCGCAGACGGGCAACGTGGGACATCCCGAAAATACAGCCACCTTCAGAAATTTCGATGACAGGAACAAAGAAGCAACGAAACGGTTTCCTAAATCACCCGTTCCTCGCATATTAGTTTTTGGTCAAAAACATTTATTTTTTGGATTCTACGTACAAACTGTTCCAGAAAACGAAACTTTCATCGTTGCATGATTGTTTGTTGTTATACATTGCATCATCACAATAATAACAAGATGCACATAACGAAAATGTTTTATGCGGCCATTTCACTGTTATTCCACAATCACTTTCTACAGTCGGCTAATTTGAATGAGGAAAAAATCTCTTTAGAAAAATTTCATATGAATTTTGCATTTGCGTAGTCTTTTTTTCAAATTTCAAGCCTTTTGCTCTACGCTTTCGTATTGTTGCTCATCAGAACCTCGTTTCTGAAGACCCTTCCAAACGCCCAGAATTAACATCATTGCAAACGCAATCCCTGTAAGGATTGCCTGTACGGCGAGCAGTGTGTTACTTGGATCACCTTCAATATCGATCATGTCATGAACCTGAATGGATCATTATTAGCATCATTTCATCGAACTTAAATTAGTGAACTTAATCAATCATTCATTTATCCATCCATCCGTCGTTACCTGTTTGCCTTTCATATGCATTATCACTGCAATCGTTTAAGAAAATGTTTCATCAACTAATCAATGACTGTTCAAACCCGAATATACACCTCAGCAATGTTGTAAGAGGGTTCATATTAGGTTCCAAAATCTCGAGCATAAAATTTTCAACTAACGAACAACTTCAATTTTCTCCACGTCGATGTCGGCCAATTGTGAAAAATGAGAGATGGTTTTCATACGGTAGACGACTTCACTGGCTCTGATCACATCGTTTTTATCGTAAATTCTTGGTGTTTCGTGTTTACGCTTTCGTTGAGCTTTCTTCTTCTTCTTACTCTGTCTCTCAGCGTCGTCTTCATCATACTCAATCTCCACTGATCCATCGTCATTTTCTCGATTTTCCTCCTCCTCCTCTTCCTCCTCCTCCTCATCATCAACAAATTCCTCTTCATCAGCATCCTCTTCCACAGGTTCTTTGAATGGCTTCTTCATCCTTATCTTTGATTTGGCGATCTGATCAAACAAAAATAAAATCAATTCCAAAAAGAGTAGTAAGTGGTCATCATAAATTTAGAAGTGAACGTATACATATGTCCTGTGCTAATATTATGCCTATGATATGTGTCGTTGACCTAATAATAGCATAGATCAGACAGCAATGACAGGAACGCAAATAATAATAATGCTGATAGTAACCACAACAGTAGTGAGAGACAAGTGCACGATGAAATAAATAAATAAATGTGTAAAGCACCTTAACGCTTTTTTTCGTTTTATCTTTAAGGATAACAAATTGAACGTTCAGTCGTTCATTATCATCCATACAACGCACACGAAGTATAACCAAGTCATCCTGAAAAATCAACAAATCCTATCAGTCTTTCAGTATGTAAAAATTTCTTCTCCAATTCGCTGAAAAGTTTAAATTGATCATCAATGTATTGTTGACTACGTACCGGATCGACACCAAGTGAACCTGAAATAACTTCGCGAAATTTATCCTCCGGAAAAGCATCGTAATGTTCGGCAGTTGCATCCAAGCGAAAGATAACACCGGCCGCCGTGAATTTATTTCGTTCGATTTTAAGCAGTTTATTGCAACTCTTCTCTGGTGGAGCCTGCTAAAATATTATGAATATGATCAGCCGTAAATAATATGCAAATTTAAAGAATCACTAGAATGGATAACAATAAAATGTTTATAAAAACACTAATGGTACTACTGAAAGAGAATAATAACAATAGTAATAAAAAATAACAGTAATAATGAAAAAATGATGATAATGATAGTAACAATAGTATTAATAATAATAATAATAATAATATCAATAATAGTGATAATGACATAATGAGATGCGGAATAGTGAATAGCTAAGAACTGCTGATAAAGAACAATAATAATAGAGCGTTTGCTGATACCTCCTTGAGTGACATCGCACAAACACATGCATGATATGGATGATCTGAATTGCATACAGTATGATTCAGCTGGGGGCATATTCGGGCGTTTGCGATCGAAACCAAATTCATTGAGAAGGCCAATAATATCGTAGAAATGGATGACGAGAGCATCATCGTTATGAACCTGTGCTTTGATGGGTACGTAATCATTCAGTTGACTTGTTTGCAAGAAACGAATGAATTAATTCATTTCACTTCCCCAGTTCAAATTCCTCCATTTTAGAACATATCCTCATTTCACCTACTAGATTTATACTCAATAATCTTTTGTGCACCTACTTCATACTTCTTGATTATGCACCCAAAACATTGCTCAACGATTATCAGCTAACCTGATACCTACAACTTACTAATCTTCCTAAATATTCGTCAGACATTGGAACGTAATTGAGGTATCTAGTATCGATGAAATCAGACGGAATAAATGAATGTCATTAGATGGACTGTAACAGTAGAACCGATTATGTGATTTCATGTGTAACATTAATATCTGAAGATTGAATAGCAGCAAGTAATAACGGTAAGATGGCAGTGAATCGAAGTACAGACTGATATTGAAATTTGAAAAGTCGCATGATCAAAGTGATATTGATGTTGATCAAGAGCTAATTCAGATGGATCGTTATTTTTCAAAGATAAATGTTACCATGTGATAAAAAGTAAAGAGTTGCTTAGATTATATTCAATTGAATTGAATATAATCTAAGCAACTCATTATGATTGTCTTATGAATGTCAAGTGAACTGAATTTATTGAATGCTTAAGACTGAACTGAAATGACGAACAGTGCTAATTCTCTAATACCTTGTTACTAGCTTTCAGGGACGTGACAAAAGAAAACGAGATGAGTTAAGAGAATGAGAAGTAGAGCTGACTGAGGCTAACATCACGATGAAACTGAAGTTCAAGATCTACAGCCGAGATGTTAGCAACTCAAGGTGTACACAACCATGCACCTATATGCATTCATCCAAATAACCCAGATCTCACACTTAAAACGCACGACTCCAATAAGCTAGATTCACTCACTCCTCATCCACCTACTTCTAAATGCTCTTTTTTTAAATATCTTTTTTGAAATATTTGCACATCATCAAATAAAATCCAATATTTCCATTAAGAACACCAATTCGAATTATTTATTCAGCTAGTTGATCAGTTCACTTCAAATGCACTCTCGCCATCTCATGTTCGACTTTAATTTCTATAACTTTTAAAGCGTCCTCTATTTTCACTCGTCAACTTATGGATAAAATTAGATCGAGAATTAGAACCAATAACAGCATAGTTAATAATTCCATTCAATTAGTATTTGCTAATATAGCGTTATGTTCTTCATTTTCTGAGCACTATTATTATTATTATTATTATTATTATTATTATTATTATTATTATTGTTATTAATGTTGTCATCATCACATCGAGCAGTATGTAAATATTTATTCTAAAATCTTTACAAATAATGATTATTTGCATAATGTTACGTCTGCTATATTGAATACAGTTTTAAAAAATTTTGAGTATTTGATCATTTCATCGATCGTTTATGTTTTGTTCACAGTTCCAACTGAAACCGATTCGCTCCTGCAGCAATTATCATTTTGAATGAACACACATTATATGGAGCTCAACAAATGGTGATAATAATAACAATGATAACAATAGCAATGTGACAGCAACGATGAAAAAACAATATCACACATCAAATCCCTGCAATTGCTCATTTTCGTGCCCTGTCGGCATATCACCAACAATAACGGTTCTGCTGAGCTAACTAGATCGTTGAGATGGCCTGAAGATAGCAGTTTCTAAAATATGCGTAGCCACATTATTGTGTCGTTGCTCTGCTGCAGATCAAACACAGAACGGAATTTGTTGTATGGAAGAGCGTCCAAAGTTTGAGCGTAAGGCTAAGGACACGTTAACCTCAGCCTAGGTGATATCCTAGAATTACGCTTAAAATCGCACACCTTAAAACATTGACGTCTATGTTACTCTACTGCACAACAAACTTCTAGCGATGGCGGTAAGCATATTACTAGGCAGTAAACCCTATCGTAAGCCTATAAAAGCATGCATAATTTATAGCCTTGTGCTTAGCTTTACGCTAGAAAATAGGCTAAGATTCTTGCTTGACCTTGGTTCTACGCATTCACTTTTGCACAAACTCTCGATGTTCTTTCCATTCAACAATATTTGACAATGTCTTTCATCACCTCCCCTCCCCCGACACCACCAAATTACCTAAGACGATAATTTCACTCCCTGTGAGAATCACTGTCCTAGACCGTTGCGTTGCTCATTATTGCAATCGATTATAACTGCATGAAAAGCTATTGTCTAGGACACGCTCACTTCAAATTAACTGATTTAGATGAATTCTCATTCTTTTCAGACGTGTTGTATTCACTCTCATAGCTATTACATGCGAATATCGTTCTCTTGATGAGTTTTTCTCATTCACTTCGTATCACTTCACTTCACAGCTCGAATCAATTTATTATTCTGTAGCATATACTATTTACTGGATACGTTGACGAGTGTTGACAGTCGAAATCAACAATGCAGCAATTGAATTGAATTGCCCAACAACGTTCGACAGTCAAATTATCAATTATAGAGTGTATTTGATGGAATGAGAATTTGACTTTGATTGTTGAATGAAATGAATGAGAAATGAGCAAAAGAGAATACTTTTGGTGATTAAAGCTATGAGAGCGATTCTAACAGCAAGGAAAAGAATGAAGACCCTGTTGAGACAGTTAAAAATTAACCCCGTTAGGCCCAGACGAGCTAATAATTCGTAGAAAATAGGAGAATAAGGAGTGTTGCCATCAGCCGACCACATTTACATAGCCGAGTTAAAAAACACCATTATAACATAACAACCGCACGAAATACTAATTTCTCGACCTCCTCCATTACTTCTTGACGCCTCCAAATTACCCAAAATGGGTAATTTCACCCCCTGTTGCAACCACTGATCTATGGTCTTGTGTGCTTCTGTAACGCCGGGTCGTACTGCATGAATAAATCTCCCAGTTTAAAACTAACATCAATTTTCAATTGTTTATTTCAAAACATAAATAAGTGATAGATAGACAGTTCTTTAACAAAGAAAAAATTCGAATGCCCACGCAGAAAATTTTTTTCCTAAGAACCTTCAAGAAAATGAATAAAATATAATGATAATAGCTATGATAATAATAATAATAATTTTTGTAATAATAATAGTAATAATAATAATAATAATAACAATAATAATAATAATAATAATAATAATAATAATAATAATAATAATAATAATAATAA